CCCGCCCGCCCCCACCCACGGACACACCCAGGGACCGCCCCTGACCCAAGGAGCCAGGCGCGGGGGCCCGGCACCGCCCCCTGGGAGAGAACCAGCACCGCACCGGACGGGCCCGCGCCAGGCGCCGGCCACCAGCAGACGCCGGACCGGACAGTAGTGAGAGGCCACCCAGGCCCGGGCAGACGAGGGAGGCAAGGAGGCGGTGATGCTGCAAGGCATATGTCCCCGGCGCATCGGGAACCAGGGGGCCGCGAAGGGCCACCCGCCCAAACCCGGGCCCCCACCAACACACAGGAGAGAGCGGCCCGCCACGAGCAGTCAATCCCCCATCGGGACCCCCTAGCAGAGGGCCCATAAACCACAGCCAGTCAGGAGGCAGAACCCCGGCAGGAACCCACAGAGCCCCCAGGGTGCCACCCGGCCCACCCGCCACAGGGCCACGGGACCCCCCAGACACCAGGAACCCAGCCACACCACCATGATGTAAATGGGCTCCCTGGCTCCAACCCTCAGCCCAGGAGGGCCGGGCCCCACTAGCCACACCATGCGTATCTACAGTGTGTGTAAACCCACCACCCCCCCTCTTACTATGATTCTCCGATCCCTGACGGAGAAACATTAACCCTACACCGTGAATGTGAGTGTGAATGCCCATAAGTGTGATGTGGTGCATTAAAATTGAAAATCCTTCACTCTTTCTAGTACCTCGTCTCACCATGTCCTTTTATCGGAGATAAGTGTATTTTTTTCTTTAAATAAATAGTTTAATATTTGAGAAATACTCTTATTTGCTTTCTTGCAGAGAGTTAGAGGAGAAAATCGATACCACTCTCATGTTTGTACGGTAAATATGAAGCCAGAGCCAACAGTCAGTTAGCTTAGCTTAGCACAAACACTGGGAGCTGGGGGAAACAGCTAGCCTGGCTCTGTCTGAAGGCAACAAAATCCTTCTACCAGCCCCCTAAAACTCACTAATAATACATTCTCTATACTCTCCCAGAGTCTACTGAAACACATGCTTCCACTTTCTCTATAAATTGAAAATCACTGCTGCAAATATATGTAAACTTGGTAATTTGTGTGAGTTTTGAGTGTTTGTGTGTGTGTGTTTGTACCTCACTAATGATACCGACGGCACCATGGATTTTGGCCACAGGACCCAGGAGAGCAGGGCATTGTTGTCCCACAATCCTCAGCGCTGGCAGGAAGCTGACCAGCGAGGAAGGGCTGGCCTGTGACACGTCCACGAGCGCACCCAACAGGGCCTCAGTCAGGGATTGGTCTCCTAGATAACTGACTAGCGTAGGCACCTGAGGGCTCAACATCTGTAAGATGAAAGCATTATTCATTATTTGTCACTCTTGTCACCACCACTCACTACCAAACAGAGGCTTATGTGTCTTTAATGAAGGCTGGAGGTGAGACGAGGGACAGTGGAGCGAGATGATAGGACTGGTGACTAATAAAACAAAAGACAAAAGCTTGACTGTAGCACTGTCTGGACAAACTGAGCGAGCGAACAGTTCCTCCTCATTATCTGGACTGGTCACACTGGACCGGATCAGACTAACAATGCCCACCATTGCCGGCCCTCCTGCTGCTAGTTTATGAGTCACTTGTCCTGAATAATCATATTAATATCAAACATTACTTGTTCATCAAAGAGAAGATGTTTCACTCCATTAAACTGAAGTTATGCAATTTCAAAGTTCAAATTATTACTTCTAATCTTTTCAGTCATTTCCAGTAAGCGGATATTAGGATGCAGAAGATTTGGTAACTTTTCTGACGGATGCAGCCACAACAGAAATATTTTGGACTGTGCGGGGGGTTCCGATTAGAATAACTCCAGATGGCTGGTTTTGTTTCTCCAGTGCTTAACGTGTGAGTGAGACTGTACATGTTTTATCACCATGTGCTCTGTTTCCTGGTATGTGGTACTTTCTTCTTGTGCTGAACATCAGCAGCTCTGCTCCGAAATGTGCAGGATTAAGGGAATTCCTACTTAGAAATGTGTACTCCACATGCAGTGCTCCACATTTACTCACTCCGAACAATGTTCCAGTGACTTTTTTTCAGCATTTCAACATGAGCTCATTACAGGATATGGCGAAGTCGAATGGTAAGAGCTCTGATTAAGCTTGACTCATGGGCTAAAATGGTACGAAAAAAGCCACACACGTACTCCACTGTAAGGCAAAGCCAAGTTAAATGTAAACTTATGCCAAGGCCATAGACTTTTGATTTAGTTGGATCGTGCTTTGTTTTCAGAAAACACCACAGTCTGATGTACTTCATTATCATTTAAATGATGGTATGTAATGCTGCTGAAAGGCTGCTAACAGTATTTTAGATGTTACAAGGCTTCTTGAAAATGTTATTACAAGGCTGACAAAGATGGGGCCAACAAAAAGTTTCAAAACATATGAGGAATGTAATTTATATTTCAATCGCTGGTAAAGTAACAGTGCTTTAAGCAGGATAATTTACTTTGGCCCATGTTATTAAAAAAAAAAAAATGACAGTCTTTTGATGGACAGCGAATAGTTTGATGATTCCCACAGTACATTGGAGCTTATTGCTACTATAACTAAACAAAAAACAACACAAACACTCACTAGTGGATGTTGCTCGGCAACAATTTGAATCAGTCTGATGAGGTGTTGTTGCTCTGGGGACTCCAGCTGAGACATCATCGCGGTGAGGTTGCCTAGGTGACAGTGGATGGTATCTGGCTGTCTGGGGTAAACTGAGGGTAACACCCGTAACAACATGTGGTTACCTGCCGGAGAGACAGAGAGACAGAGTTGCTTTCAGTGAGCTTTATTTGGATGTTGAAAGAGGCTGCCATATAAACAGTTAGACAGACAAAAAAGATTCAGTGCCCAGTGTGAATAGTAGAATTTGAGACATGAATCTTGTCTCATAAAATTTCCAAAATAGAAGAAATTTTAGATTTAATTCTATGTAAATGAACCCCCAAAATTCCAGTCTTTTGCATTACACTGATAGTTGTTTCTATTACTTTGACATCATTGAGAGTAGTCTGGATAACAGAAGCACCTCTCTGGACCAATTGCATCAAAGCCCCGTTTCCACTGAGCAGTACGGTTCAGTTCAGTTCAGTTCGCTACCCTTTTTTCTTTGTTTCCACTGTGAAAAGCTGTGGATGGTACCAATGGAACCGTCCGTACCGTCCCCATTTTTGGTCCCCCCTCTGTTGGGGTACCTAGCACACAGATCTGGTACTAAAAGGTGGAGCTGTGAACACTGCAGTCTGTTGATTGGTCG